GAGAAGGGAGAGTGTTGACATGTCGTGGGGTTGTTACCCAATGTGGTAAAACAATATGTGTACTGTCTAATGAGAAACTATTTGTTCTGTAAATCTTCATCTAAAAAGCACCACAAATAATAGTAAAATATGGTAAAATAATTAGAAAGTGATAAGGTTAGAGTATTCATTCCTTTGTTTTTTATGTTATTTAATTTTTTAATAAAGGCTGTTTAAAAACCAGCTGGCAAAAATTCCTGAAATTTTAACAATCAGCTCCAATGAATTAATACGAGCTGCCTCAAGCATGCCACTGGTTATATCTATGGATATTTGCTTCACAGAACCGAGCAACATTTTGCTCTGTTATACACAGGCTCCTTATGAGTCGGAACTGACTTAACGGCACTTAACACAACCACCTAAAGAAATAATGACTAAGAAAAATATTAATTCATTAAAAAATAACTGCAAACCCATTACACATTAACATAAGGAACATTTTTAATGAAAAATATATTTCCCAAAAAAAAGTTGGTGAGAAGTATAGCATTGTTTTACATTTTTGCAAGTCTCTTAAATATATGGCTTGATAAAAGACAGCTAGATTCTCATATCTCCTTCTGCATTCAATCTGTTCCAATATGTTGTTTTGGTTGAAGTATATGAAGAAAATCTGGGCTCACACAAATATGTAATTGAAAAAAGGGGCAGTATTTTAATAGCAAAGTCCCGGAGTAGCACAAACAGTTAACACACTTGGCTGCTAATTGAAAGGTTGGAGGTTCTAGTCCACCCAGAGGCGTCTTAGAAGAAAAGACCTGGTAATCTAGTTTCAAAAAACCAGCCATTAAAAACCCTATGGAGCACAGTTCTACTCGGACACACATAGGGTCCCATGAGTTGGAATCTATTCAATGCCAACTGGTTTGAGGTTACTTTAATAGTCCTTTCAGATAATTATGGATATTCTTTTTTTAAAGGTTAGTTGCAATGTAGAATCTGAAACCCTATCAATAAACTTTTTATACTGACATGTTAAAACCTATTGCACTTCAAATCTGAGTAACCATAGTTTGTCGTTCTTTCAAAGAAAGGTCCATGAAAAAAATCACTAGTTCAAGTTGCAACTCAAGTACCTGCAGAAGTGTTTTCCTCTAGACAACCATCATTCTTCAATATGCAGCAGAAATCTTATGCATACCTCCCATTTCATCACGCAGAATATTAAAAAAGGCATATACTTGAGGGTTGGAATTTAATACTACTAAGTTTTACTGTTCCATCAAGCCATTTTTAAATGAAACCAGTATCCTTTAAACTACAAAGAATACAAGAGAGTTCGGTATCACTGTCTTGATTTGTGCTAAGATGCTAAACTGCTTAGGTGCAGCTTTATCTACCACTACTTTTGTACCATTGTTGAAAGTGTCAATATGGTGAAAAAGGCAAATAATGTCTTTGTATTATTATGAAGACAGTTTTTGATCACGTGGACCCCAGGGGTTTACGCACCACACTTGAAACCCCTGGTATAACGTAAAAAGCTGAAATTTTGTTCAATTCCTTACCCACACCTAGAGGTGATCACTGGAAAGTGTGGTACATAACCCTTTAAAACACACACACACTTGCATGTATGCATTTAATAAAAATGAGATAGACAATAATTCATATATTACAACATATATAATTCTGCTTTTTTTTTCCTATTCAGACCTATGTCTAGTCTTCCTTATTCTTTAATCGGTATAATAATATTCCAGAGTATAGATACCCCACAATTTGCTTAACCATTTCCCCTACTGGACATTCAAGTTATCTCCTTACAAATAGTGCTGCAATCAATACCCCTGTACAAACATCCTTGATGGATTAATTCTAAAGCCATTCTGACAACACAAAGTTTTTCAACAATTAAAAAAAAAAAGAAAATCCATGCTATAATTAAGGAAAATCTAAGTGCCTGGTTAAAATAAATTTGATAAGTTCAATTATAAATACACATTAGAACTAGTTTCCCATTTTCCTGGCTCTTGGTGAAGATACCTATCCTGAGATTCAAATGATCATGCAGAATATTAACCACTTATGAGTTAAATAAACTAGCTGTATGTGAAGCTACTGGCAGCTATGTATGTTTAAGAACAATTTCAGCTCAACACACTATCAATATAGATAACAAAGTAAAAAAGGCATCACTATCCTCCTGGTGTTTACCTCAGGGACATCTTTAGCATGCTACAGGCCATCTAAATAGTCATGCGTTGCTTAATGTCCATGGTATGTTCTGTGAAAGAGGACATTACGGGATTTGGATGTTGTGTGAACACCATATTTCAGGCAGTCCTCAGGTTACGAACATCCAATGTATGTACAACTTGTACTTAAGAACAGATGGTCATAAAGCTTATTAAAAATTTGTTAAACATAATGGTTCGTAATAATGAAAGCATGTACCACTTTGTGATGTTCATGAAAACACTGCACGGTTTGGAGTGTGTCTTAAGTGTTTTATATGAATAAACCAAAAACCAAACCAAATCCGTTGCCACTGAGTCAAATTATGAGTCATAGTGACCCTACAGGACAGAGCAGAACAGCCCTACATGGTTTCCCAGGCTGTAAATCTTTACGGCAGCAGACTGCTGCATCTTTCTCCTGCAGAGTGGCTGGTGGGTTTGAACCACTGACCTTTCAGTTAGTAGTCGAGTGCTTCACCACTGCGCCACCAGGGAAAGGTAAAATATATACTATGTACTAAGACAAACATTTGACTGATGCTAAATAAGAACCGTACGTACCTGTTCCAACTTAACTACAAATTGGACTTAAAGACAAACTTAGGAACAGATCTAAGTGTATATACAGGAACCCCTGTATATACTTAGCTAAGCTATATGAGATACTGTAGTATACCTGTATTGACTAAATAGCCAAAATACTGTATACCATAAAGTACTGTATTTCAGCTACTGTATCTGGCAAAGTAATATATACGTGAGACACACTTATGTTTGCTACATTCGGTTACGTTTGAACTCTATTATAACCTTAAGGGACCACAAACGTATATGTGGTTGGATTTTGCCCAAACACCTTGATCCTGCCATCTACGCTTACAGTTCTGCAGCTAAATAATCAAAGTAAAAGAGGAAACTGGCAAAAGAGGTGATCAAGCTAATGTGGGAAAAAAGCCCTTTGTGAACTATAAATTCTCAGCAGCCTTATTTAGTTTTAACCTAGCCTGTTAACTATAGAAAATGGTTTCAAGTAGATACATTGGTGCTACAATTTCCTACTTAAAAGCACCCTCGTACTACTACAGAAAACATACTGAGAATAACTTACCATCTTCAAAGGGTGTCCCTTCTGGTCTGAAAACAAGAAAATTTCTGATTAAAATCAAGTTCCTCATTTTGCTTTTTCCTGATCTTCAAAAGTGGGAAGGATTACCTCCAACAGGGAAAGAAGGGCTTATCCTTATGGTTTGTGAAATTTTTAGGATATTGTTAAATACCATCTTAACCCTAGATTTTCATAGATACAGGCATAAAGGATAAGTTACATTTTATAAGTATTCCTTTTAGGGTTGTTTTATAAAAAACTTGTCTTAATTTTAGCACCAGAAGAATTTAATTCATAAATGCTGACCAGTCATTTTGTAAATCTGTGTATTCTTATGAGAAAAAGTCATCATTTTTTCAATTTATGTCAATAAGAGGAAAATCAACAGTTTAACATGATTATAACATCAAACCAAAGTGTCCTACTTTCCAACAGTTAGTAGTTCCCAGAAATCACTCTTGTTCAAATTGGCTAGGCATAGCTGATGTCACAAAGAAAGTAATTTTCTTTCGCTCTGATCTTTTCCTTGCCTCCATATCCCAATTTCATCTTTCCTAAGCAGCAGCATGAAGTTTAATGATTATTTGCAAGACACATTCAGGATTTCAAAAAAAAAAAAAAAAAAAAAAAATGTTAACAGTCTGAATGTAATGGACAATCACTTTAAGAGTGTGTTTCGCGTTTTTTTTTCTTTCTTTCTAGTCTTTAATGTACACTCTTATAACTGATTCTGTGACAACTGACTTTTTTTTTTTTACGAAAGTATTTCTTTGAAACAAATCTGAATTTTAAGTTTTAGTGCAAAGCCCTAGTTTAAAAAGAATGAAAGAAAAATGGATCAAGTCCAAGGAAACCAAAGAAAAGACATGAAGACTTTATCAAATGGCTCCATTCAGTCATTTCACACTGAAACATTTTCATTTACATTCTTGCCACAGCAAAAGTTCTCAATGTTTTTGGTTCCAAGCCTTTTTACAGTCACAATAAAATGTGAGCAAAATATTTGCTTAGTACATTTTGTATAAAATAATTTATCTTTCCTCCTTTATTAATTCCATTCAATTTAGTTTCAAATGGTATTTTTTATTAAGTAAGACCCAATGTGACTACAAAATCAATATGTAAATGCTAAAGCCCAAATAAATTTTATACAAGCGCCAAAACTCTTTATCAATTTTTTTTTCTAATTTATCTTGCAGTTTCAGTCCTTGAGATCCCTGACTCCACCTCAGTCTCTTTTCCTAAACATCTGTTACATATTCACTTTTCTCAAGAATTACCACACCTATTATTTGTTACATCTTTCAACTCACCCGAATATAACTGCATTCCACTGCATGATGTTGTTTTCCGATGGTGCGCCACTAACACCCACAGGTGGGTCCTCTTGCAACCTAGGAATCCAGAGTAGTAACTTTAAAAGTCAAACGTTAAGGCCTCTAAGGAGGCCAAATCAATGGTCTCTATATCATTTATTTTGGTGACATAAACTAAACATTTCCTTGTCCTTGTGCTGAGCTGGAATGAACTACAGCTGACTTAAAAAAAAAAAAAACAGGTACATATACTTATTAAATACCTCTGCAAATTTTCTAAAAGTCCCAAAGGCTTGGGATTCATCCTTTTCAAATATCTTCAAGGTTAAGACATTATGTCTTGAAGAACTGATACATACAGACTGTCCTACTGAACAACAAAATCAAAAGCAAAAAACACAAATTCAAGTGCAAAAATATTTTACAGAATAGAATTTGCTGCTCTAAACATGCAAACACTGAAACTCCTAACCACAGCTACATGTGCAACACACACACACACACACAAAACCTAAGTGTAAACACTAAAGAACTGCAAATGCTCATTTTTTTTGCTCATATTCTTTTAATTAGGTAATCAGTTTTAGGAAGGAGAACGACTTTATCCCATTTGCTTCACTTAGCAATGCCTTTTAAAGTAATGTGAGGCTTCAGTCTTGTCTACTTAAAAGCTCTACACTAAAAACCATACCCGGCAACCAGGAGACTCAACACAAACTCACATTCTTGTAACCTTTAGATCCTTGAAAAACTACGAAGGGGGCCATGTGTTCAACCCAGAATTAAGCAGAGAAAAGCAGTAAGGAAGCAGGGGAACAACGGACATGATCTGCAAGTTTTAGTATCTGAATTTTAGTCATGAGAGTTAATCTGAAATCTACTAATTTCAAGCTGTAGAAAGACTTCTGCACCAAATAGAGTTCTTTTAAAGACCGTCCTAAACAAAAGCTCCATCTCTCTATCATCGATCTAGCTATCGTGATTACATGTGGCATGATACTTTGTCAATTAGTCCACATAAAAATGGTTTTTAGTCAACCTTAAGCAAATTAGGCCACGAGGAATAAGATGCTTAGAGGAACTATACAGTGCTTGACGCCCAACAGAAGTAAACGGCTAAGAGGAGCTCCGGGTGAATTCAGTTAAGCTGGGCAAAGCCCGAAACAATGGTTTCCAAATGCCTCACCTAAGACTTTGTAATGGTAAAACTGAGAGATTAATCTTTTATACCACCCAGAAAAATGTGGCTTGTGCAGAGGATTGTGGTGCTAAATTTTCTCGCCCCTTACTTTTATTTTTCCCTATCTTAAGGTATTCATTAAGAGGTAAACAACTTAAAAAGTCATTTCCTCCTCACTAACCCTAACACCTCCTAACAAAACCCTATTTTACAAAAGGGGGCCCAGGGAGTATCAGGTTAGCGCTCGTTTGAGAAAAGGCATGTTTCCAGAAGGATTTGGAGGTTATAGATAGGGCTTTACACACCAGAAGGCACTGGCATCCGGCGTTGCCAACCGGAGGCCCAGGCCTCCCGGCCAGTTCTCAAGGTCCTTTCAGGCAGGCGGGGGCAGAGTCGGGTTTCGCGGGATGATGGGTGACCAACCTCCAGACCTCGCGCTTCAGACCCCACCCTCACTACTGAAAGGCAAGGAATGACGGGGCGGGGGTAGAAGAAGCTTTACCCCAACCCCTGGCCCTCAGAGGAGACCGCGGGGTTGTTGAACAAAGCTGACTCTTGCAGCCGGCGGGGAATAAGCTTCTGCAATAGAGCTCACGTTGGGTAGACAAGGAAAGGGCGCAGTAGGGTGCAGGGGCGGGAGAATAAGGTTTGAGCGCTTGGCGAGACATCGGGAAGCCGGCCGAAGTGGCCAGCAGGGAACCTTAGGCCGGCCAACAGCCACCTTTTTTGTTTACTTTTTTTGGCTGAGGGTGGGAGGGAGAATCGAGGTTTCTAGTGCCGCTAGGGAACAGCCAAGAGAGGGAGTGGGAGCGGGGGCTAAGACTGGGCTTCTGTCGATCCCGCTAGGGCCCACAGCCGGTCCCCGTAGGGTCATTAGGGGAAGGTGTCCGAGGTCCCCGCCCTGCAGCTCCACAGCTTTGAGGAGGAGCCGCCAGCCAGGTGAAGGCCCTTACCGCTTGAAATCCCGCATAAGCCTCCTTCTGGCTGGGGTCGACATGCTCCCAGCTGCCCCGTGGTCAGTCTGAAAGAAAAGAGTCCCGCACAACCCCCCCACCCCCCGGCGCGGAGGCCGAGTCACCGTGGGTCTCGGACGCCGCGATGCACAAACAACCCTGCAATGACGTCTCCCTCCGCCGCCTCCAGATCCCTCCGCCCTCCGGCAGTACCACAGAGTGAGGGGAGGGGGAGAAGGTGAGCGAGGGCGGGACGTACAAGGGCATTCTTCGGGAGCCTTTTAGCAGGGACCGCTCTCATTTTGGCTCCCTGAGCTCATCGACAAATTGGTGTTCTTTGTGCTCAGAGCCATTGGATTAAAAGCGATTGTGACCGAAACACCACTCCGTTTCCCCCCCGTTCACTAGTTTAGGCTCGGCCGGGTGGGGAGAGGGACGCATCCGGAGCCAGAGATTTCAGGGAAAAGAGGTGGGATGACGTAAGGTCATGTGACACCGGCGGCGTTGTCAACAATTCACCCGAGGGGGAGGGTTGAGGTATCTAGAACCGCGTGTCCCTATGACGCGATTAGAATAGATTACGTGGGAGCGTCGCCTGAATGAGAGTTTCAGCCAGGTCTATGAAGCGGGTCCCCAAGTTTCTGGGGATGAGGGCGGGGTACATCTTTTATTAGTCTGTCCCAAGTACAGGGACTACATTATCGATGAGGTCATGCCGGAAGCAAGTTTGTCTTGCTTCCTATGTCTTTAAAATGGAGCCCCAAATAATTTAGACTTAAAATTTCCTCTGGTTGTTTCAGTGGTTTATCAGTCTGGTACGTGAGGCGAAGAATAGTAGTGAAGGGACCTTCTCGATCTTCTAGTAAGTGCAGCATTGAAAGCTGAGGCCCACAAGAAACAAAATCCGCCGAAATGCTTCCTTAAGGTCACCAAATAGACTCTTTCATGCAGCAGGGTTTTCAGGATTGGAAATTCTGGGCAAATATTAAAAAATGGTGTACAGATTGTCCACGGCTTGTTTAAAATCAGTATGGAATTAAGAGTTTTGTTTTTTCTGTATGGTTCTGCTCTCATTTGTGGATTTGTGTCAAGAATCCATGGATTTCGCTACGGTAGAGAATCGTATTTGTCAAGAACTGTGAGGGTGCGACAGGTGATCTCTTGTTAAAGAAACCTACAAATACGATTCAGATCTGTGGGAGATCGTGCTGACATGGGTGGAGCTTATTTATATATCTAGCGTGAGATAATTCTGGTTATCTACACTAGCAAGTAAGGCTCAAATGAGCAAGAAGTGCCCACCCCCTGCCATTTCCTCTCTTCACTAAATTACTTCCATCTTTAGTCTCCTCTAACTGGCTCCAAGTATTTGTCGCACAAGATGACTCTCAGTAATTTATCTGGCAAATTCTTCAGCTCAGGGTGGGGGAAATGATCTTTGCACTGTCCAGTCTTTCTTCAGCTTGCCCATAGTTCCAAGAAACCAGAAGGGTTAATTTTCCCCACTTTCCAGATACCTCCCTTTCTTCCAATCCAGAATTCTATCTCTAGCTTTTACTAACAGCCTTGGTGATCAAGTTAGCTTGGCTTAACTCTTGATAGGTCCTGCTATTCATTCCCAAATGTGATTCTCTAAGTCAAAAGCTGATTTTTTTTCTGCCTTCCTGCCATACTTTCTACAGCTAGAGAGTAAAACAGACGGTGTAGGGTACCATGCAGTGAAATGCTACAGAGAAAAGGTTAAAGAGTTACTTTTTAAAAATCCCTGTTATGTCATTTAGAAAATGAAGTAACACTTTTGACAAATTCTGTCAAGGTTTTTCACAGTCTTAGAGCAGTGTATAAGCAAGAATCACTGGTTGTCCAGGTCTCCGGGTCTGCCACAACCTATTATTTGTAAAAGAATAGCTTTAAGCTAAAATTGTATAGTCGTATCAACTCTGTAGCTCTAGCTCACTGAGGGCAGAGACCAGTCTGATACATCATGCTCTGTCCTTTGCAAATATTTAACCCACAATAAATATGCTTACAGCAAGTCTGGGCTGACTGAGATTTACTTTGACACTCATAGATTGGAAGTATTTTATAACATTGCTGAATAACTTTTCAAAAGGAAACGGGGCTTTGAATATTTTGCTGGTGAAAAGGAAAACCATGACCACTCCTCGCTCTCCTCACTCAGAATCTTTAAACCGTAGCAGCATATTAGAAACACTTGGAGGAACTTTTAAAATACCAATTCCTTTACCCCATTCCAAGTAAATCAGAATCTCTGGGAGTGAGGACGTCTTAAAAGTGATTCAGGTGTGATTTTAATGTGGCTTTTGGGGCGGGACGCACTGGGCTAGAATCTATTAGATAATAATAGAATAATGCCATTCCTCTTATTTAGGGGGAAGCATGGTGGGATTTGGCCTTACACACATTTCACAGAAAAAAAGAAACTCAAACTCAGAGAAACTCTGACAGTATTTCCTAGGCACTTGCTCAGCTTTAGATATTCACCGTTAGGCTGTCACTACAATTGAACCCTATGTCCAGTTCTTAAGAATTAAACACCGGCCTCTTTCTCTGTGCCCTGGCATGTCACTCCTTATGTGTGGTAGAATCCTTTGAAGTATTTTCTTCCGGTCTTTTCCCAAAGTGGCAATTTTAACATGTAGTGAGGGACGTTTTTAAAAAGAAGGATTACTAGGAGTTGGAAAAATGTTAACGAAGATAGCAGGTGTTCATGGAATGTTCTTGATAATTAAGATATACCCGTTTTAAGGATGACTGTCAACACCTGAGATCAAACTCGGGTCCATGGGATATTATTGTAGCTAGGTAACTTAACCAAAACCACAAAAGAGTTTTGGAAGTCTCGCTTTACAAACTGTCACAGCTTAACGACAACAGCCATCCTTTTAGCGGCGGGTGTTCTCCGGCCTGGTGGCGTCCACGACGCATGCCAGACACTTTTGCCTCGGTTCCCCTCCCTAACAGACTTGCCGACACTCATGCTGCTGTCAAAATGTGGCTGCTCCCCATCCCGCTCCAAACTAACCTTGTGAAGAGGCCGGGAGTTTGAGCGAAGCCAAACCCGCCAAGCCCCCAACGGATCCCCAAGCAAGCTTCCATTTTAGCGCGCTCTGGGAGCCCTTACTGCTTTTTCTCACCTTCCTTCCGGGTTGGGGCCCGAACGATAATCCGGTCTTGCGCACAAGGGGCCCAGCAGTTCCGTTGCCATGGTAGCGGACGGCTGCGAGCTGGCGGGGTTGCCCCGCGGAGGAGGGTTTGTGTCCGGTTGCCCGGGTGCGACTGCGCGGAGCCAGGCGGACAGGACTGCAGAATGGGCTGTGGCGGCGGCGGCTGCCCCGACCAGCTCGACAGCGGGGTGAGGGGCACGACTCCGGTCCGGGACTCTTAGACGTCGGATTTGAGGGGCGGGCGGGACCTGGGCTTTCCTGGCTGGGTCTCGGGGCTTGATGTGTGGGCGACTGCAGTGGTGCGGGGACCGAATATTTGACAGAGGAATGACAGGAACTGTTGGGACCTAACTCTTGATGGATGGGTGACAAGTAGTGAGGGAACCTCAGTGTTGATGGGAATGACCGAGGCAGCCGGAGGACCCATAAGTTCTGGTAAGGGCAGGAGCCCCACAGGAACACCTTACTGCCGGACTGGCAGAGTGCTCAAAGACAAACAGGTTCTGTAGAAAAGATTATTTTTTCTATGTTTCTGTATTTGAAAGTATGGGTTTATTTTGGAAGTGCAATATCCAGCTTGAATAAATAAAACTATAAACTTTAACATTTTTTCCCTTTATTTCTATAAAGAAGTAGAAGCCAGACTTGAAAATGGAGATGTATGAAACCCTTGGAAAAGTGGGAGAGGGAAGTTATGGAACAGTCATGAAGTGTAAACATAAGGTTACTGGGCAGATAGTGGCCATTAAGATATTTTATGAGAAACCAGAAAAATCTGTCAACAAAATTGCAACGAGAGAAATAAAGTTTCTAAAGGTTTGCTTCTTTTGCCTTAATTGTTCTATAAATCAAAAGAGAAATTGTTAGGGAATAAAAAAAATTGTTTAAAAGAATATTTCAGTTAACACATGTATACTAAGACATGTAACAAGAACAAGTGTGATATACCCTGCCTATTATCTACATTTTGTAATTTTATAGTGATACAAGATAGATATACTTGTGTATCTTAACAAAAGCTATGCCAAATGTTGTGAAATAATTATTCAGAAATATTCTAGTAGGATAAAGACTGAATAAAAATGACTGCTTTGTGCAAGGCATTGTGCTAGATTCTGGGACTATAAAGATGTAAGACAGTCCCTGCCCTTAAGGGAACTGTGTGCACCATAAGTGAAAATCTGATTAGAAGACCTTTTTCCAGAGAATATCTCTAGTTCTTTCTTTAGCTCTTTTGCGCTTCAACTGATTATTTTTTTCTACTTAATCATTTTGTAAAAATAACCAGTACGTGGTAAGAATACAAAGATGAAAACGTATTTTACTATTACATTGAAACCTGTGAGAGCCGGAACTCAAATGAGACTGCCTTGTTTTTTTGGGTCTGTCAGGCTTCCCACTGTTGACAGGGTGTAGTCACCACTCTTCTGTCGCTCTCTGATGGGAAATATGTGCGTTTTCCTTCTCTGACAGGTTTCCACCTTACACAGGTTTTGGCTTTCACAGGTTCCACTGTATAACTATTATGCAAAATTATTTTGAGACAACTATTTATTCTCATTGCCTTAATGTAGAATTTTTAATTTTGGCACAGTCTAACTTCACTAGAGAGAGAGCTTGGACTAGTTAACATTCTTAATCCAAAAAGGTTGCCATAATGACTTAGTTTGAACTAAATTTTTATCTTTGTTAAAATTTTACTAAATTAATTACTGTTAGGGTAACTAGTAAGAATATCTGTAAAAAAGTTAACTAGTAATGGAGAAAAACAAAATTAAACAACTTGGAAATGGATAATGGAGCATTTCCAGGGCTTTCATTGTCTAAGAACCTACCTTCTCACTCCTGAGTGATCTCCCCTAGCTTATAAACTCATATTAACCCTTCGCTGCTTTCATTGTCTTTGCTTTTCAGAATAAAGACCAGATAGGTAACCAGTAATTTTCCTTAGTTGAAGCATTAATATTGTAGTGTCCAAAGGTAGGCAATTCTTTTTCCTGCTGCCAGCATGTCACTGCGGTACTCTGGCATCTTGCCAGCTTGGGAAATTGAGATCAAAAATAGGAAAGAAATCTGGCATTGTATTTTGGCATGTTTTTCTATTAGTCATATTTTAAGGAGTTTAATGTCTGTATTAGTACAGAGAATTGGGAAAATTGACATTGTGCCATTGGAATAAAGGCAAATCTTTTTTCATAAAAATACGGTTTTCTAATGAATCCAACATTAATATACCCCTTAATTTTTAGCCAAATGAATAAATGTTTTTGATAATTTGAAAAAATAGTTAAATTATTTAAGAATTAATTGTGATTAAGTCAGTATATTGAAAAATAGAATAAACCAAAAACCAAACCCACTGCCGCTGAGTCGATTCCAACTCAAAGCACCCTACAGGACAGAGTAGAAGTGCCCCTTAGGATTTGCAAGGAGTCGCTGGTGGATTCAAACTGCTAAACTTTTGGTTAGCAACTGAGCTCTTAACCACTGTGCCACCAGGAAAAATAGAATAAGCACGGTAAAATATTAAACTTCATTTGTTTTCTAAGCTGATAGATGACTGTTTTTCACATCTTGAAGTTACATCAATTTCAACGATTGCTACCATTCTAAAAAAGTGTTTTATTGTTCAGTAGAATAGTACAGACAATAAAATTTTACCCACAAATAATTGTATATTTATGTAAAGTTACTATAGCTACAAACTGGTCTTTCATATATCTGAAGAGAGATCTCATCAAGAGTTTCTAGACATTTTGATACTCTTCTGTTTCAGTCTGATAAATTTATAATGTCCACCTAAAACTTATGGTTTACTCTGTAGAGTTTAGTACCAAAATTGAATAATTAATTTCTGTAAATTCAAATCAAATACTCAATGCTGTTGAAATCCTTGTTCATTTGAAAACATAAGGACCTACTAAATTTCAGATGTTAAATTTAATCACAAACCAAGTTAAAGGATAGCAATATATCTCTTAGCAGCATACGAAGTTGTGTTACACTACTCACAAATATTTAGATAAGCAATCCAATATTAAGTATTAATGCAATCAAATGCCAATTTGAGGTAAAGCAACGCATCTGACTTTGTTAATACTGATCATGAAATGGATTAAAATTCCTGTAAAATAGGAATGTAAGGAAATCATCTGAGAAATTTCAGTTGAAATGCATGAAGGAAAAGAAGCTGAGAGTATTTGCTTCATTTAAAAATTACATAGGTGTTACATGTTCAAATTATTGTGCATGAAATAATTTATTAAAAATGTGTTTCTTTTGTTAATAGCAATTTCGTCATGAAAACTTGGTCAATCTGATTGAAGTTTTTAGACAGAAAAAGAAAATTCATTTGGTGTTTGAATTTATTGACCACACAGTATTAGATGAATTGCAGCATTATTGTCACGGACTAGAGAGTAAACGACTTAGAAAATACCTCTTCCAGATTCTTCGAGCAATTGAATATCTTCACAATAATAATGTAAGTGCTTCAGAGTAAGCCAAAATGTAGGATGAATATGAATTATAAGTGTCCTTTAAACAATGCTCTGTTTTTATGAAGGTTGTTAACATTATTTTTCTGTGTAATATTAATTGACATCTTAAAATGGAGGTGGGAGGTAGATACAAAGAAATAAAAGTGATCTTGCCATTAGTAACCTTACAATTTAGTTACATAGCCAAAAAGCAGTTACTGAACACACAAAAATTGTAACTGTAGGGCAGACCAAGTATGGGATGCCAAAGAGAGGTATCAGTAGTTAGGAACAGAGGAACCAACTGCCAACTGGGACACCTTTTACTAGAGGAAGTACATGAAGATGTTGAAAATCAGGGCCATGGCTTGATGGAGACTTGATCAAATGAAGGGAGGTTTGGAAGTAGGAACTAGAAATTAGGCCATAGGAATGACAAGTGGCTGTGGATACCTTAGGGGAAGAAAGGAAAAATAAAGTGACTGAGATGTGTAGGTTCTTGTAGTTTTACATATGAAAAACCAAAAACAAAAAAAAGAGAAAGAAAATAGCAACTCTTCTGATTTTTAGTGTTGTCTTTAGCATTGCCTAGTGTTTAGCTCAGCAGGTTTTTATGGAGCTGTGCTTTTTTTTTTAGCTTTTTAAATTTTTATGGAGCTCTGCTTTCTGGAATATTAAATATATATTCAGGAAGTATCTCAACAATAAAAACCTCAAAAATAGTTTTACTAGTAAGTGATGTAGGCACCACTACCACTAGCTGCTGTCGAGTTGATTCCGATTCATGGTGACCCCATGTGTTGCAGAGTACAGCTGCACCCCCATAGGGCCTTGACGGCTGTGCTCTTTCAGAAGCAGATTACCAGGCCTTTCTTCCGAGATGCCTCTGGGTGGGTTTAGACTGCCAACCTTTGGTTAATAGTCAAGTGCTTAACAATTTGTGCCACCTGGGAGACTGATACAGGCACAAGCCCATCAAGCCCATTGCCATCGAGTTGATTCCAACTCATAGTGACCCTATAGGACAGAGTAGAACTGCCCCATAGGGTTTTCAAGAAGCAGCTGGTAGATTCAAACTGCCGACCTTTTGGTTAGCAGCCGTGCTCACTGTAGTTCTTAACCACTGAGCCACCGGGCTCCAGTAATAGGCACAGCAACTATATATTCCAGACTTTTCAGACAACCTTAAGTTTTAACTTTCTGTGTTTGTAGTAGTGTGTCTCATTTTGTGGCTTTGAAAAATATGGTTATGATAACAATGGAATTCAGATCGCAATCTACCTGACACCTGAATCCATGGGAAGGCAGTATAATGTAATAATTCAAGGTACACAGTTTAGAATCAGACCGTCTTGGGTTTTCACCACCAGAGATGCTATGGATGAGCACACAGCTTGTACAGTACACAACTTGCGCAACCAAAGGTGGCAGCCCTGTTACTCTGTGACCTTAGGAAAGTTATCTAACCTCTCTGAGCCTCATTTTCCTTTTGTGCAAAATGAGCATAATGTACTACCTCAGATTTGTTGTAAAGATCAAATTAGGTAGTAAGTATCCAGTGCTTAGCACTGTGTCAGACACGTTTTAAGTGCTCAATAAATAGTGCTGGAAAGGAGTGAGGAATAGTTGTATCCCTCTAGTACCTTGTCTGTGGTAGAATAAAATGTTTCTTGACTTGGCCCAACAATTAGAAGACTTCAAGGAAGAAGTAAAACTAAAATTAGTAGAATCTTGAACTGTAGCTGGAATTTTATCAGAATAGAAGAGGAAATGCTTTAAGATGGGGTGCCACTGTGAGAATAGAGGTAGACCTGAGCAGAGCTCTTCAGTGAGTGGTGATGATCAGCTTACAGAGATCTGGTGACACAGGTGCCCCGGGGATAGGTTTTCCAGCGCCTTGAATTCATCCTGAGAAGTTAGGACCTTATGCTGAGGATACTGAGGAACGATTGAACGTTTTTGAGTTTGACAGTAACAGGATAAAAACAAAACCTAAACTCATTTTAGCAAGAGTAGCGGATAGATGTGGATAGAGATGCAGAGAGATCAGGTGAGAAACTGTTGTGATAGTCCAGATATGAGATGGTAAGGGCTTGGACTTGGATAGTGGCAATGGGAAGGAGAGGAACGATGGTAGGGGGAGAGGATGGAGATTTCAAACAAGAGAAATGACAGGATTTAGGAACTAATTAGATATGAGAGGGATAGAAAAAAGGGAAGAAATCAAAGGTAACTACAAGATTTTTAATTTGAGAGCGGGAGAATTGTGCCATTGGCAGAAATTGGTTTTAGGAGGGAGAATTGCTTTTGGACATAGTAATATATTTTAAGAGCTAGTGGGGAAATCTAAGTAAAAATAGTGATTAACCAATTACATAACTTGGCCTTAGGAAATTGTTAGAACTAGATAGACTAGGGGATTTTCCTCTCAGAGACTATGGTTGAAGAGGTAAGGCTGGATCCCTCTTCAAGGGGTCGAGGGAAAAGTAAAAAGTGGTACTCAGCACCGAGTGTGGAAGAATATCTGTGTCAGGGGGGAGGTGAGAGCAGCAGAGAAGGAGGCCTAAATAGAAGTACTCATTCTTTTATTCTCTTGGTCTTATCTAGTACCTGGAGCAAAATTATCCCTATCCCTCCACTCATCTCACAGAATAGTTAGTTATCTTAGAGAATTAAGGCATCCATGAATGTTGTGGCTCATTAAATATTATTATGCTTATCTGGACAGCTGGGTTTGGGCTTTGATGATTTAAGGTTATCTTCATGTTGACAAAATATTAAGGAAATAAACTATCATCCTAATAGCTCCAAATTTCGAACAGATGATTGGTATTTTCTGTAAAACTGTGAAATTGTCTGCCATGATATCTCACGTCCCTTTTAATAGAAATTTCTAAACTAAATACTATTCAGTACCAGAAATAGCTTTGTTTTAGTTATCTAGTGCTGCTGTAACAGAAATACCACAAGTGGATGGCTTTAACAAACAGAAGTTTATTCTCTTACAGTTTAGGAGGCTAGAAGTCCAAATTCAGGGTGCTAGCTCCAGGGGAAGGCTTTCTGTCTCTGTCAGCTCTGGGGGGAGGTCCTTGTCATCAATATTACCCTGGGACTAGAAGCTTCTCAGTGCAGGAACCCCGGGTCCAAAGGACGTGCTCTGCTCCCGGCGCTGCTTTCTTGGTGGCATGGGGTTCCCTGTTTCTCTGCTCGCTTCTCTCTTTTATATCTCAAAAGAGATTGTCTCAGAATAGTACCTAATCTTATAGATTGAGTCCTGCCTCATTAACATAACTGCCTCTAATCTCGCCTCATTAACATGACTGAGGTAGGATTTACAACACATAGGAAAATCACACCAGATGACAAAATGATGGACAATCATACGGTACTGGGAATCATGGCCTAACCAAGTTGACACACATTTTTGGGGGACACAATTCAATCCATAACAGTAACTAACAACAGCAACACACTTTCCATTTGGTTGTTAGGCTTATCTTTTCATGTAGCACATCAGCATCTGATTTTATCACATCAGATTGGAAAATTTAGCAAATTGAAGCTCTCAGAGATTTAGAACCCAGGCTATCTGAGGCTGTTGGAGGTTATGGATATTTGAACTCTCTTCTTTCGTGGGTATTTAAATCCAAGCACATTGGGTTATTGTGGAGTTAACTTTACCCAAAGAATTTCCTTGGTTCCTGAGAGAGAACCTCTAAAACCTTGGACTTTCCCTAATGATTGAAGTGTCTTTGGTGAGGACTCATGTTGGGTGGGGGCTGACTACACCAGAAAGACCCACCACATGATAGCAACCTTGTGATATCAATTGACGGGGTGGCGGGGGGCGGAGGGGTGAGAGAGAGCCTGAAGTCTGAATTATATGAGACCCTGCCCCCCCTCACCCCCGACTCCCAGTAAAAGCTCTGGATATTGAAGTTCCTTGGGCTTCCTGTTCCTGGTTGGTGGTAGACATTGGTGCACATCAGAAGGTAGCATGTCTTTGGGGCATGGAAATTTCATGTTGGGAACCCTCCCAGATCTCATCCTATATATCTATTCATTGTATCCTCTTGCTGTAATAAAACTATAATCATAAACGTAGTGCTTTCCATAAGTTCTGTGAGTCGTTCTAGCCAATTATCAAACTTGTGGGAGTAGTGGGAGTCAACAGGTCAGAAGTAGGTGGTGGGCTGGAGACCCCTGAGCTTATAGCTTTCATCCTAAAGGGGAAGTGGGAAAACCTTGAATTGGTAGCCAGTAGGTTGGAAATGAGGGTGTCATGGATACTTTCAAGCTTGTGTCTGGTGTCTGAGGTCTTGGGCAGACTTGACAATCTGGAAGATTGTGCCTTTTAACTTGTGAGATCTGACATAGCTTCAGATGGTGAGGGTCAGAGGAAGAAGTGCTGCATGGGCAGCTGGTGTCAGAACAGAAGTGGAACAGAATTGATAATAAATTGATTTGGATTGATCAACAAATTTGTCGTCAGAGAAATAAGAAGTGGGATTTGATTTTCCAAATAGCTATGTATATTATAAATCAGATTGTAATATGGAGCTTTATATAGCTCTGCAGCATTCTATTACACAGTAAAGGAGAATCAAACTCATTGTTTGAATCCAAAGTCTGTTTATACCACATACAAAAATTAACTCAAAATATATCAAAGACCTAAATATAAGAGCTAAAACTATAGAACTCTTAGAAGGAAACATAGGTGACCTTGGATTAGGTGATGGTTTTTTAGATGTGACATTAAAAGGATAAGCAATCAAAGAAAAAATAGATTAATTGGACTTCATCAAAGTTAAAAAGGTTTGTGTGTCAAAGGATGCTATAAAGAAAGTGAAAAGGCATCCCACAGAAAGGGAGAAAATATATGCAAATCATATACCTGAAAAGGATCTAGCATCCAGAATATATAAGGAACTCTTATAACTAAAAATAAAAAGACAAATAATTAAAAATGGGCAACAGATTTGAATAGACATTTCTCCAAAGA